CTCGAACTTCATATTACACAATGATATTCAAATTCCATTCGTCACTGAAGAAATCAAAAGATATTCTACCACAACCGACTAATGGGACACGAAAACAGCTGCGTAATTGAATTAAGCAACCCATTAAACATCAGACGAAAACTAAAACGACAATGGCCCTCAGACTTAAAAGAACACAGTGCTGAAGATGGGTAGCCGTACTCAACAACATAATGCATTGTATACAACATAGGAGAATCATCACTCGATGATCACTCCGCACAAGTGATTTCTTACAACATGTTTACTTATTGCTCCCATGTAGAGTAGATTGTAATTTGCAAGAAATTAAAAAAATCGAACTGAGAAATTAAAGGAGTTAAATTTCGGATTAATAATAAGCTTGAGGTCACCTTCTTGCAGTAGTTTCAATGGGTTTCTTTTTATTAATTTCTCCTTTTAGTGTTGATCTATGTGAAGAGATTATGCTAGCATGTTAATAAAAGTAATAATATCTACACACAGAGATACTGGGTTTTCGGGCTTTGTCCATCGTCCGGATTCTAAATAAGTAAGCAAAAAACACAACATTTCGGAAACTGGATCTGTTTCCGTCCTCAGGTGAGGGAAGACATTACTCTGTTGGGTCCCTTAGAAATAGTTAGCCTCAGTCACTGGTCCTCACCTGAGGACGGAAACAGATCCAGTCTCCGAAACGTTGTGTTTTTTACTTAGTTATTTAGAATCCGGACGATGGACAAAGCCAGAAAACCCAGTATCTCTGTGTTATACACCATCGTCAGAACCATATAGTGTCTAATAATATTTACAATTAAATTTTAACTGCGTGAAGGAAAACGGGGCTCCCTGACGCTTGGGGTCCGGATGCGAGCGTGTCAACCTACACCACAGTGCAAACGTGCTGGAAACGATGCAACAATTTAACAAACAATAGTTTAATAAGAAATGAGATGACAAAAGAAGGGCGAACAAGGTTTCGTTGTACTTCTGTTCGTGAGGAACGATCGTTAACTGAACGTAAACTTGAATTCCAAATATCCCGGGCTACTTACTCTCACAACGACTCGGCTGTTACTTGATTCAACTCTCAGCAGGAAAGTGGGTGATTCTGTCTAAAGTGTTCGTGGTTTGCCTCAGTCCTGCCAGACGAATGCTGTGATAGTACCTTGAACAGCCCACGATCGCTTCCAATTCATCATTCACTAATTCGACGTCATATTTCAGCGTCGTTAATCAAGCCGTGGGAGAAATAATGAGCATTCGCGTCACAGCATGGCGGTTGAGAAGTTTGGCAGGAATCTGCAAGAAGAGAAATCTTTAACCTCCATTGAGAAATTCGAGTTTCAACAATTTGCCTTTGTACGTGCAATTTATGATTCTTAGATTGTTGCTTAACTGACTCATGTTTGAATCCTCTTCAGGCAGCAGTAACGAGACTTCCAATTGTCATACCCTTCCAGCCTAGACATCATCATATCAAGTATACGCAAAGTAAGTCAAGAAAACGGGCCGCGCCGTAGCTCAAGCGGTTAGTCGTTGGCTTCCCACCGCGACGGCCAGGGTTCGATCCCGGGTCTGGTCAAGTGGGATTTCTGCCAATCTTCGTTTCCCCAAATTCTCCATCATCATAATCACCCGGGGCAGGCTACAATAGTCCAATCAGTGGCCACCGTGCCGAGTGGACCCAGCTGGACTCCACGCCCCACTAAGCGAATTAAAAAAAAGAGAGAGAGAGAGAGAACAAATAAATAAATTTTAATATATCTTAAAAGGAGGACTGGAACTTGGCGTACACAGTGATAGTCACCGTGTATAATATTCCAAAGTGTCTTGTCACCGGATATGTTTCCGATGCGTGCTCGTTCCCAACAATTCGAACATTTAGGAACGAATTCCGAAGCGTGCCATCCTTTACAGTCTGTGTTGATCATGCCCAGAGGTTTTATAATGATCTGAAGCGTCTACCTGTTTGTGAAGGACCATTTCAAATCGCGCTGGAAAGTACCTAAATATTTCTACATTCGCAGCTGTCTCTGGAAAATAAAGTCCTATTATATAAACCAATTATTTATTATATAAACCAATTATTAAACCCATCTGGACCTACGGCATTGAGCTGTGGGGGTGCGCTAAACCATCCAATACCAAAATACTGCAAACGTTTCAATCGAAAACCTTACGATGTATAACAGGAGCACCACGGTACGTATCAAACAAAATCATCCACGAAGAACTCAACATACCCTTCATAACGGATGAGATCAAAGAACAAGCTAGCAAATACCAAAACCGGATTACAGGCCATGAGAACCAGCTAATCGATGAACTATCGAACCCACACGCTAATGCAAGAAGATTGAAGAAAAAGTGGCCAGAAGACTTGAGAAATGAAATGGATGAGAACTGCCGCTGGGCAGTTACCGCCTTCAAGACATAAGAAGATGTATCACATTTACTTGTTACTTCCTTTACGGTTAAGGAGGTTGTAAATTGGTACAAAAAAAAATTCTAGGCCTGCTTTCTTATTCGTTTGCTTTGACAGTACATCAGAA